TTAGGACAACTATTCGCTGTCTCGCTGCCATAGTTTGACCAAACTCCCCATCACATTCATTCCCTTTAGATAGAGTCCTAATTATGTGCTGCCTAATTGTTTGCCAAACGATGTGCCTTTGTATATTATAATGGAAAAACTAACAACCATAAGTATAATGACAGTTTTATTCTTTGCATAAAAACACTTCAATTTATTTAACACTAATTGAACACTGGGTGTATTACAACTTTAGAATTGTAATATTTATTTGGTTCTGCACTTTTTCTTGCCACAGAATTACAATCGTATCGACTGAAATGTGAAGAAGGTTTTTGCACAGTGGTGGCCACTAGCGGAGTGAGCTGTGAACAGCGATAAGGTATAGCTAAGAGTGGTCCAGACTAACTTTACGAACGAATGACTTACAGAAGATATACTTAACTAAGAACGTTTCGGGAAACACGTATTAACGTAAAGGTACAACTTAAGGTATAAATTACGAACGACGTAGCGTTAAGAAGGTTTCGGGAAACGCAGCCCAGGACCAGACTTTGACTAAAGTCTATCCACACGCCTATGAGGTGTGCTTTATGCATTTAGTTTGCGCAGCGTTGAGCTTCTTGAGTCTGTTCAGTAAAGAGCGTTTTGATTGGTAGATTAACATCCTCCAAAAAATATATATTTATGAATCTTAACCTGCCAGGAAGGTCTCAAAAATACCACACACAAATTCAAAGCAGTCCACGCATGTGTGATGATTTGCAAATGCAGATTCAACGATCCATAAATACATGTACCATTATTCATAAATGTGTGATGGAAATTAATTCAAGAAATGTATATATACATATTTGTGTAAATATTTTAAATTTATTTAGGTAAGATGCATTTGTGTGAGCATTTGGGGAAATATTTATGCTTTTACTTGTGTATTTATGAATTGTGTTTTGAATTTACGAATCGGATTTTGTAAATGTAAATTGTGCTGTGCATTTATGAATTTTGTTTTGCAAATGTGTTATTTTTGAGGCTGATCTGGCTCCATATATATTAGGCATAGCCTGCCCTATAGCATGGTGTATTTTTATTAGTTTTGTTAATAAAAGTTATATGTTTTATATATAGGCTAAATTGAGTTTGACATTGTATTTTGTTGTTGCATTCAAGCAATTGATGCCGAATTGCCGCTAATTTGAAAGTGAAAGTAAAATGCGCACGGTGCTTTTAAGCTATTTAAAAGTGAAGGAAAGCGAGGAAAAGATGGAATGCCCCCGCCCCCACGGTGATACCGGTATTATCGGTGTTGTCACACGTCGATTAACCGGTGGGAAAATTTCCTCACCGTCACAACCTTAATCTGATGGTGATCACTATTGTCTGTGAAGTCTGTTGATGTGGAACTCTGTATTTTTGTGTAGCGAGCAGGCCTTGCTGACTGCACGCAGTCCTCCAGTGTTAGGCCGGCACAGAGATTACGAACACATCCGTTACCCTCACGTTTATGATTCTTAAGCCGAAGCCATCAAGACCTCAGCATTCGTGGGAGGAGCTAAGGTAAAGGCGTGCCCCACTCTTATATGTGTAAGGACACAGAGGAATAATAAATCTCCACTCCTAAATACAAAATATCTCCCTAGTGCTGTTTATTCAACATCATGCCAATCTGCTCAATTATATCACAGTATCACACACTAGATTACCTTGAGCCTTTGTTTTTAATCCAGTTTTTATGATGTCTTAATTAAAATTCCTGCTGCAGGCCATCTTCCAGCGACTGAAATGAATTAATTTGGGCCTCATCTTTTTCCTGCGGGTGGGGTGGAACAGGTGGTTTAGGGCCAGGATGATCAAGAGCTTTTTTATCACAAAAATATATGAGTAGCCCAACTGTTTTCAACATTAGTAATTATAAGACATTTTCTTTAGCTGTAAATCAGCATATTCAAATGATTTGTGAAGGATCGTGTGACACTGAAGACTGGAGTAATGATGCTGAAAATTCAGCTTTGCATCACAGTAAATTGCATTTTAAAATATATTAAAGGAGAAAACAGTTATTTGAAATGCTATAATTGTATATTTAAATTGTAGAATAAATTGTATAATAAGTATTTAAATTGTATAAAAATAAAAATAATAATAGCATTATTTAAACACTCACAACAGCTCTGGCAATTTGTTTAGAACAACAATATGTGAGTAAGATGAGCAGCATTGCCAGATATGATGACGTGTGGTGTTGTCTACTGTGATCAACAGCTGAATATGACACATTCATTAGTTCTGTAATTATAGGAGTGGTAGGAAATGCAGCATGCTAAAATTAGATATTTATTCTCCTATTCTATAAACTATTTTCATTACAGAACGTATAGCAACCACAGCTCAACCCACTGCATTCTACTACTCGAAGCAAATACCGTATTGACCCGAATATAAGACGATGTTTTTTTCTTGGAAATACATCTGAAAAAACGCGGTCGTCTTATATTCAGGGTCTAGACTTTGACATGTCAATAATACACCCACAACAATAGTGGCTCCAAATACACATAAAACGAGTGTGCCATGAAATACGTAATGTAATGCGTGTTGTAAAGATCGCAAGTAAAATCAAAAGAAAACCTTACAGCTTCATGAGTCGTGACTGTCATGATAGCCTGATGGGACCAAACTCCCTTTGTGATTTTAAAACGTAAGACAGTACCCAGATTTGAAGACTACAGTAAGATTTAACTTCTACTGTTAATAAGATTTTGGTAGGCTACTATTAGATGGATAGCCTAAATGTCCTAATTCAGATGGGCAACCTGTTTTTTTATTTATTTAATGGTATATCAAAAAGTGTATATTTTTTAAATGTCATTGTTGGTACATTTTACCAGTTTTTTACCATACTTTCAAAACAAAAATTAAAATAGGAAAAATATGCAATATGAAAATAATTGAAGACAAAATGTGTTTTACTGAGAAAAAACAAGATTTGGTTTTTAAAAAGGTACATCTGGAAAAAGGGGGGTCGTCTTATAATCAGGGTCGTCTTATATTCGGGCCAATACGGTATATAAAGATGTGTTATGACTGCTATTTTTACAGCTAAAGCACATATTGGAAAACTTTCAGTTGATTTCTGCTGTAATTAAGCCCACTGGTGTCCGCAGCCCTCAACATTGGTCTTCACTGTTTGGTTGGAGACGGTTGCCGTGAGCTAATGTATGATGAAGGTTTAATTGTATGTGTTTTTGTGTAATTATGTCCTCTCCGCTGTGCCGGCAGATGCTGCTGCCCGAGGGGATCAGAAGAGGGAATAATAAGATGTATGAGGAGGTTGAGATCCCCCCCAATGAGCCCATGCCCATTGGCTTTGAGGAGAAACCTGTGTACATCTCAGAGCTGGACGAGGTCAGTGGTGGCTTATTTACAGCTGTTGACATTTATCAATGCTGATGTTCACACTCCATGAGCTTTTCTCAACTAATCACACCATTTGTCCTGTTTATATTGACTGGTGGCATTATGCCTAAAATCTCCTCCACATGATGTCAGATGCAGCATGTGATGGTTTTGCAGCTGTGTGTTATGTTTGTGTTTTGTTCTGTGAAGTGGAGAGCGGTCTTAACTTGTCTTAGCCCAGCTGGCTACATAGCAACTCTGTGCACTGATGGACGATATACCAGTTAAAATGATAAACTGGCACAAATAACACAAGATGGCCACACTGTGCTTATAAAGGGATGAACATGGTCACCAATAATACTCCAATAGGCTTTAGTGTTTAAACGATGCTCAGTTGTTACTAAGGGGCCCAAAGTGTGCCAAGAAAATATCCCTCACGCCATTAATGTACATCAGCACCACTAACCTGAAACTTTCTTTTAAAAGAAATTCATATAGAAAACCTTAATTTAAAGTTAATTGAAAATTTTGTAATCATTTAGAACCCTTAAATTGTTCCAAACCTGTATGAGTTTCTTCATACTTTGAAGAATGCTGGTGACCAAAAAGCTGACGGTTACTATTGGCTTCCATAGTATGGAAAACAAATTCTATGGAAGTCAAAGTTATTCCTTTACTTCTGTGGTAATGCTACTTTTTCATATAATCAACTGACACAATTTGTCTGCAATGCTTTACTCAATATAATAAAAGGACATCAGTGGCTACCGTCAACAGTTTGGTCACCAATACTCGTCAGAACTACTTTTGGGTTCTACAGAAGTAAGAAACTTGTACAGGTTTGGAGCAACTTGTGAGTGAAGAGACAGAAATATGACAGGATTGTCAACAAACTATCCCCTTGATTTAAAATTGTAATAATATTTCACAACATTACAGATTTTACTGTATTTTTGATCAAATAAATCCAGATATGGCAAGGATAAGAGGCATTCTTGATGATTTTCACTAAAATTTCATGGCCCCCAGAATATTTTGTTGTATGGATATCTGAAAATGCTAGCTTCAAGCATTCTTTTATTTTTTTTTTATCAACACTTGAATGTAGGTTGGTTTCGTAAAAAAACATTTTGAGCAAAAAGCTGAGAAAATAGCTTTTTTTATCAAATAGGCCTACTACATCTGGATCATATTCATTACTATTATCAAAGCAAAGATGCAGTAGATGGCTTCCTTCAGCACACCCAAAGCTTGCACAGTCCTTTACCACTTCCTGGATCGACATTTCACTCTGTAACATTAGGCAAATTTCATTTATATGTGGTTTAGTGTTGATGATCGCATTCTTTTTCATATGCATATGCTTACATACAGTATGAGATCGCTTGTTTTTTCATCTTCCTCGTCTGTGTTTTTGATTGGCACATTCTAGACTCATTGAGGTTGTATAATGGTGAAAACCTGGAAAATTCTGTTTGGCAGGGAAGCGTTGTGTCATGAATAATGGAAAATTCCGTGTTCGGCAGGGAAAGATTTAAGCCCCGTTCAGACTACACGATTGTTTTGTCGGTTACGACAGTCACTGTGTCAGATTATGCGATTTTGACTCATAAAATCTTGTTGTGTCGTGAACAAGAAACTTGTCAGACTATATATACGATGCTATACCCGCCCATTCATCGCATGCCATCATTAACAACGTGCGTGCTGTCACCAATAGCGCGAGACAAGACAGAAGGTGCTATGAGCGTAAACAATCAATGCCTAGCAAACAGCGTGTTTTGCCATGTCTTGTGATTAGAAAAGCCCAAAAAATGGACACGATGGGCATGAAGAGGATGGCATGGACTGTCAAAGAGAACTGAGGTAAAATAGTTTTTATTTGAACTTTTTATTCACTGTGTTCGCTGTAGTCCCTCATCATAAATGCAGGAGCACTGTTGCCGTAGCTCCACGAACATTTTCCTCCATTGTAAATTTACACGTAGCAGGACCAATACCATTGTCTCCCTTTCGTTTCGGCATGTTTGAAAGCTTGTACAAAGGCACTTCTGTGCTCCTATTGGCCAGTGTCATAGCTGTGATGCAACTTGTCGTGTACGACGGGAAAAAAAATTAAACATGCTAGTCTTTCTGTGTTGACGTTGTGAAGCTTCGCAGAGATGCCGTGCACTATGACACACTACCCGAGATGTAACGATTGAATCATGCGTCCCGATGCCCATTGTCGTATATGAATCCCCAGGACACCCTACATCAAGTAGATCGTAGCAAAATCAGGTTAAAATCGTGTAGTCTGAACGGGGCTTATATTGCTCACCCTAGGTGACGGTACACAACTATACCTATCTCAGTATAATGTCCCATTTATACCACAATTCAAGGAATATTGACATGCATTTCCGTCTGTTCCTCACACAGCGCTATTATATGACTTCAGAGGGCCTGGAAAATAGCATGGAAGTTAAATGGGCATTTTAGGACAATTTTATACTACTTTTTGGGTCTCATTAGAATGCATTACAGTCAGTTTTCATTTTTATGGAAAAGAGCAGCGTGAACACTTTCCTCCTTTAACCTGCAATACACCTACAATAGTCTCCAGTTAGGACCATTGAAAAGCTGAACAATGACATTCGTCCGTGACTCACTAGCCAACTTAACAAAAAACAATTGGAAAACATGTCTTTCTGCTCCTTCTGGACATTAGCGGTATTTTACATTACAGGTATTTTTTGACACGACCATGCCTGCAGCACTTGGGTATCATATGTTTTTCAGTGACTTGACACCAAAGTAACAGTACTTTTGACATCCTCACTAAAGACATGATGTCCATCCAAACCTGATAGGCTTGTAAAAACCTCTCTCCACTAACAGGAGTCCAGAGCACAGAGGCTTACAAAGACCCTCTTTCGCAAATAAGGTTGGCTTGATTTTGACAGGAAAGTGCACAACAACCTCCTCGCCGAACTAGAGGACGTGTTGGCCGTGGCTTACTAAAAACTACCGTGGGTCTCCTTTAATTACAGTCATCAGTGTGTCAATCATAATGACAGCCGTGTGGTCATGCCTGAGCTACAAGGTGTGTATAAATTCACAAGATCGGCAAGGGGGACTCAATGATTGGTGAAGTCTTGGGTTTAAACAGATTGATTGGTCATGCCTGCTGGGTTGTTTTGTGTCTTCTTTATTGTTCTGTGAGGCTCAGCTGTTAATAGGTTTTAATTCATCATTCGGTCTTTAATATACATTTTTCCACTTATAATGTTGGTTAAGGCTTACTGAATCAGGCAGAATTTTGCCTTCTCCACCTTCTGTCTTACTCTTTCAATCAAATTGACTGTTTTTGCTACTGTGCCTTTAATATGTTTATACAGTATGTAAATAACCCCTGTTATGTTTAGCTAACCTCCAAATACTGCTGTAGTTAACACTGGCAATGTCGAAAAGCTGCCAACGGAGCCACTGTCATTCATTCAAGTTGCTGATGGGTGGTAATATCTTATTTGGGGTGATATTAATATTAATATTTTCCAATTTGGGTTGGTTTAGCCCTGCCGGGTTTTAAATATAGGACATAACACACCCAGCAAGTTTAACCCATCATGTTGGGTTGATTTTATTTTACAAGATCACTAGCTTATTTTTTTATGTATACAATACATTTAAACTTATTTAACAAATATTTTAGGAGTAAAATTAAACATTCAAAAGCAATTCAAGTGTGATCAATTGTTATCCCTTCTGTTCCACCTGCTCCACTTTCTGCTGACAGTTTAAAGATATCATTACTGACTCATAGCCTGCCCATAAACACATTTGACATCCCCAATACTTAGATCCAGTATATTTATGAATAAAATCATTTTATGCAAGGAATCTAGCATTTTTATCACGCGAAACAACAGTGTGAAACTCTTTTAGGTGTCCCTAAATGTGTAAATAAAATGAGTTAAAGAACAGTAACAACTTCATAGATAAAGTAAAACGTATACAAGTCTTTATTTCACCAAAGAAATACACCAATCAGGTTGTGCTCAGAACTGCTCACTCCTGAAGAGGATACATTAAGCCTGCGGTCCATAATGTTACCACTAGGTTGTTATGTCAGATTCAACAGTCATTGAGACTTGGCTGGGTTGCACAATAACTAGCCAACAGTAAAAAAATAAAAAATAAAACAAAATTAATAAAACCCCCCAGAAATGACAAAAGGGCTCAACCCAGCATTTGGGTAGGAAAAAGAAGCATTTTCATAATTTGCTCACTTTAATGCCGTTCCAAACCTGTATGTCTCTCTTCATTCTGTGGCACACATAATAAGAAGTCTTATTAAATAAGTCATGTTAAAGTAAGTCATACCTGTTTGGCAAGTCACGAGGATCAGTAAATTATCCACATCCTAAAATTGTTTATTTCTAGATTTTCATGAAAAAAAAAAATCCAGGTTTTCATTGTGGCCTGGAATTTGAAATAAGTTACCAAAACAAAAAATACGATGCACAGAATCACAATGTTCCACCACCTGCTTTTGTGACAGGTGCAGTTTCACAGAGAGATGGAGAATGACTCATCTGCAACGACACAATGACCTTGTCTGTTTTGTCACAAATATGCTAGGAAAAACAACTGAACAATCCATTATAGTAAGAGGGAAAAAAAAGCTTTTCAATAAAAAACTAAATCACAGATATGTTTCATTGTATTTTTCCTTTAAATCATGTCTTTTCGGCAAGGCTTTCCTCTTCCAAACACATTGATTGGAATATAATTCAAAGTACTGTTGATCTGCATGAATCTATTGAAGTTCTCAGCATTTTAATCTTCATAGACAGAAGCATCTTTTACATATTCAGATATTTACGTTCGTCCTCGTCCACTAAACGGCCTGCAGGTGTGTGTGTGAACGACGTACATTCCAGTGGAAGAGCAGACGTCGCTTGAAGCTGCGGCTTTTAGTGGCTGCCACTGGTGTCAAACATAATAACTGCTCTGAG